CCGAAACACGAACCCTGACGAACAAGGCCGCTGCGCGGAGAAACGAGTTGAGCGCGGTACTACTAGGGACGTGGTGGGGATCGAACTCGGAACCACTCGTTTATGAAGCGAGCGCTCTACCACTACACCACTACCGCATATATATGTCCCTTCAATTTTTTTAACTTTTTAAAAGTAGTTAAAAAATACCAATTTTTCACCAGTCTTAATCAGTTTTGAAATTGATTAAATAAGTGGCCTTCTCCGCTTTGGGTAGGTAACTTAACATTAAAAAAAATATATATATGTCCCTTCAATTTTTTTAACTTTTTAAAAGTAGTTAAAAAATACCAATTTTTCACCAGTCTTAATCAGTTTTGAAATTGATTAAATTAATTGTAGAAATAATTTGACTTACAGTTGTATATAACGTTCAAGTTTTTGATTAAATTTATCATCTTGATTGCTTTTTTATATTATTCAACATCAGATTTACCCTTAATCTTTCAATCATGCTTAACCAGACCCTAATTTTGTGGAACTAGTAAACCAAGGTTACTGTATCAAATGTATGGTGAATGTAAAGTGTGACTAATCCCAAACATGTAACATGTTGCGTCACTCACAAAAGAACATATGACTTACTTTTGTGTGCAGATCGCCTACTTCATGCTAGCAATGATGTGCAAAAAGTAAAAGACTGTGTGCACATTCCTGCATAACTATCTAGCAGAGTTCACAACAAATGTTATTCCAAGTGACACCCAACGACTCACTACAAATGTTATTCCAAGTGACACCCAGTTTTCACTGATGGTTCACTGATTCCAGTCTGGTTCATTGATTCCAAAAACAATGAAGATTATGTCCAAGGAAATTGAATCAGTACATCACATATGTCATACATCGCTGGTATGGTGTACTAAATCTATAGGAAAGACAGAGGCAATACTGCTTTTTTTTGAGGAATTCAATAAACATAAAAGACAGAACCAACAATATGTTTTGGGATATCTTTTTTACTCGTATTTCAGAGACAGTATTTCTTGTTATAAAACAACATTTCTTGTTAAAAGAAAAAATTCTTTTGAAAAAAATTTTGTTTTAAAAAACATAATTTTTTTGTTAAATTAATTTCTTGTTTATATTTAATAATAATAATTTTTATATAAATTTAACAAAATTTAAATATAAAATCTGATATTTGTTGTTTCTCATTTCAAGAGATATGCTTAAACAATGCAGAAGGTATATGCTTAAACATTGTGGCATTTTGAAAAAGTTTACTCGCAATTTCATCAATGATCTAGAAATAAAAATATTTTTTTAAATTGCAAGTAAATTTTTCAAAAAAAAACAACAACACACTTTTATTTATTTTTAAGTAGAGCTAATGTGAATGAATATGATGGTGTGCAAAGCAGGGATGCAGAGTCCCTAAAGGATTCCGGCTTTATATCTCTACTTTTTCCAAGTCTGTAGTGTCCAGAAGCTCTAAACATGTTTGTTGACTTATGATCTGCTATAAAAAAATTTGTGAGATTTAATGACTTGAAACATTGTTTTTCAGCCCGGAGTCCTGAAGTCCCAGAGTCCTCGCCGCCATTATACCTAAAGACTCCGGGTTCAAAAAATGATTGTTCCTCTTACCTAAAAGTCTTAATTTTTTTTACTATTAGTAGTCCATAAACTTATTTATATTTTTAGAGCTCCTGGAAACCAAAAACTAGGAAGAAGTAATCTTTTTGTGCCTTTCATATCCGGAGTCTTTTTTGGGACTCCGCATCCCTGGTGCAAAGTCTTTTTTGATGATCAAAACACACAAAAAATGTCCTGACAATAGAAATAGTTATACATCGAGTTCAAATCTTTCCATGCTATATCTTGTGTTAAAAAAAAGACAAAGTTGATGTACTGAAATGATGGAAGAAACACACTTCTACTTTTTCATTAGTACATTTTGCAAGAAATCTGTTCTGTGTAAAAAATTGAGAAAAGCAATTAATAAGCAATTTTGAGAAATTAATGGCAACTTTATCAGGCATTACACGCACACTACCTATGAGATAATATCATTCTACTAAAAATCACTCAGATAATATCATTCTACTAAAAATCACCAATTCTTGATTAAAATCACCCATTCTTTGCTTGCAAGGGTCAGATGTTTCTCATAATGCCATTTCTCTAATATATACTATCTTAAGCATCTTTTTTATTTAATTTAAGTTTTTTTGTGTCATTTGTAACATACTTTTTCTAAGTTCTACTTTTTTTCTCCTAAAACTGCAAACTTTTTACATACTATACCAACTCATCTAGATCATTACTCAAACCACCTTAATTACCCCCATCATGGAATAAAAAACCACTAGACAAAAAGCTTCCTGATCCATATATATATATATATATATATATATATATATATATATATATATATATATATATATATATATATATATATATATATATATATATATATATATATATATATAATATATATATATATATATAATGTGTG